TGGCCACTTGCCATGTGCTAGGCCTTATGTTAGGCTGTGGTGATAACATACTAAGTCTAATAAGAAATATATTCTGCTCTTCAAGGGATATCTGAGCAGAGATAGACAGGTATGAAAATAGGACAGTGAGCTGTTATGTCAAGACATCACCTGAACAGAATGCAAGGGGGCTCTGATTCTGGACAGCCCAGGAATGGAGGGGAGACAGGAGGTAAAAACCTGTGCACTGAGACATTTGCCATCTTATTGGTGAAACAGGGCTTAGGCCTACTTAAAGCAAGATCGGAAAACTTAAGTGGTCATTTTCAAATAAGTACAAATTTAAGGGGTGTGCCTGAAAACCAAAAGGAAATAAAGAGAAATTCATGGATGCCCTGGCAGCTTACACCTCCAAATGCTCAATAAACACTCACTCAGTTGTGTGTGTCTTTGCTTGCTGAAATTAGGATTGCTACTGAAGAAGGTTAGCATAGGCTACAAGGCACCCTATCACGTGGGGGATTCACCACTTTTCTAGCCCCACAAAATCACAGACAGAGCCCATGGTACAAGGCCAGTCCTGCCATTCCCACATGGGCTATATATGGAGGCTAGGAGCCAAAGTAGGGATAATTGGCATTTTCCAACATGGGAAATGATGATAAGGAAAATGTGAGGAGGAACAGGCAGCAGCAATGTGAGCATAATGCATTTGGGGCAAGGAGGAGCAGAAGTGGGCCTTGGAAGGGACGCATGCTGGAGGATCTTAGTGAGATGGCAGTGGTGATTTTTTCTTCCCTAATAGATACACAGCATTTCAACTTTGCTAATTAACAGAACAGCAGGCTTGTAATTCTGACAGCAGTGGGACACAAATGGGGTGGAATTAACACTGAAGCCAAAGAAGCATGTCTTTGTCCTTAAGAGGTAGCATAATACCCACACTGGGTCAGGTTCATGAGGGTGCCTGCTTACTTGTTTTGTTTTCTCCTACAGTAAGAACAAGGAGTTAGCAGCTTTTGTTTCTTCTCAGGCCTTCTTTTAAAGTTGCAAAGAGCCTACTGTTTCAATATGGTTTTCTTTTAAAGGAGAACGTTGATCTACCATTGGTCTAGTGCAGTGATAGTGAACCTTTTAGAGCTTTCAATGATAATGAACAGCCTGCTGTGGCATGCATGCCATAGGTTCACCACCACTGGTCTAGTGGTTATGGGATATTATGATTTATATCTAGATGTCCCTCCAAAGCCTCTTGCACTCATAGGTGGGGCTTTTGGGAGGTGATTAGATGATAAGGGCATGATACTCATTAGTGGATTAGTCCACTGATGAGTTTATAGCTAAGCGTGATGTTGGGACTGATAACTCTACAAACTGTGAGCCAAAGTTAACCTTTCCTCCTTTAATTTGTGGGTGTCAGGTATTGTATCTCAGTGATAAGAAAGTAAGACATGGCAGTATCCAGTGTATCTTGTTTCAGAAATAGCAGTTGCAGTGTAAGCCTGACTCCTTCAAGGTATGTCTGCCTCATAGAAGTTCTTCCATCAGTCTTCTCCCCTTTTTGCAATTTGGGCTACTAACTTAATGGGGTAACCTGCCCCAAACATCCTGATCCCCAAAGAGATTCCAGGAAAAGAATAGGTTGGGAAACAAGGAAAGAGTTGTTTTATCTTCTCAAGGCATACTGAGTCCTCTTGGGGCATGTGCTCCCAATATTTCCCTTCAAAGCATATTGATCTGATAATTTGAGTATCTTAAAAGCCAGTAAATTATGGAGAAAATGTTAAGAACTTCTCAGAATATTAGAGCTGATGATACCCAGGAGATCATCTACTCACATCATCAATGCTTAGTGTGACAGGTGAAGCCACTGACCTTGTGCGAGTAACTTTAGGAAGGGTTGACTTTCATTCAGTCATTTATTCTTTCATCAAATATTTATTGAATATTTGCCATGAGTCCATCACGATGTGTACCTGATAGTGAAAACATGCTGCTATTTCACTGGTCCTGTTTGAGTTAACATTCAATGAATTTACCCTCTATTATATATTCTAACAGCTGGTTTCTCCAAGGACCCTGGGGGAATTGATACATAGGATCTTTGGCCAGTGCAAATAGGTTTTATATGCAAGGTCACCAATTTCTGAGCTGCTGGGCTAATTAGTTTAGCTCTACTTGGCTTTACATAATACATGTGTTGTAGAAAAGTTATTTGTAATTCAATTTTTGGCAAATGAAAAATTAATTTAAACCAGGAAGGGAACTTTTATTTAAAGAGACCCTGGAGCAGCCCTTTTATAACATGAAAAAATATTGTTGTTGTTGGAGGTGATTACCCCCTAACTATGGATTTTGTAAATCTGAACCCTTTGGGTTTTGTTATGGTGGGCACACACCCAGGCAGATAGCCCAGGAGTGGTCTGAACTGGGTCAGGAAGGACTCTTGGCTGGAAAGTAAATGCTCTGGAACCTTAGAACAGTGCAACCCAAGACATTGACATGTACTGGAGCTCATGATCACCAGCTGCATGGACAAACTGCATGCTGTCCTTCAGGTCCTGGACCCTGGATTGAGAAGACATGGAACACAATGAATGGGTATAAGGGATGAAGTTGGGAGCTCTGTTTGCCTCTCTATAGGTGGAGGTCGGGAAGAGATAGTATGAGGATCCTTTACTTACATTATAGCAAATTGAAAACTTATCCTTAAGGTCTGGGAATATTTGAAATTAGGTCCTTCTTGTATACATTGTAGTAAAGGAGAGGAAGAGCAATTGGAAAAATGGACAGGAGTTTAGGGGAGAAGAGGGTTATATAAGTTCTTGTCATGCAGTAAAATCTCATAGGTTTCGGTCTTGCTTCATTTGAACTTATGAATAATCTAAAAAAAGATGGGACTGTATTTGACTTCTCTTGTTAAGATTTTTTTCTATATAAATTAAATGTGCATAATGAGGTGAAAGAGAATGTTTTAAAAGTGATAAAAGCTATATTTCACAAATGGAAATAAGCTATTTTGATGCAGAAGCATTATTTTATGCAGGCAGCTCCCATATTAGTTTAAAATGATCTGTGTGTCTGGTTGATAAAGCCAAAGAAGCTTCCTTGCCTGGAAACTAAAGTGTCTCCTTGCTGTATTAGGGTGAAAAACAAACAGCAAAAACAACAACCAAAAACCCCTATGTATCTGTTTATAAATTCTGTAATAATATTGATGTAATTGGTCTCTATTAGTGAGATTTAATTAGCTTTCTGTGTGGAAGATAAAGCTGGAGCATTAATATGTGTTTAAACTAAGGCTAGAATCTACAAAACAATTGTATAATCTCTGAATAGAGCTTTTCTTTTCTAAAGGGTTATTTTTTTCTTCTACTTTCCAGTGAGGCTTGCAGTTAGTTACTTCAGCATCAGGCACCATGTCGACTTGTAGAGAGAAGCAAACACCTAATAAGAAGCCTTTTTATCTTCATTTAGTGAAACATTAAGAAAAGGAATAGATGAAATTGTCAGAGATAACTTTAAAATTTTTTTGGATGAGCTACTGTAGACCCCAACATTATGGGAACATTTCTCTTTCTCCTTTATTGAGTGTGCCAGGGCCCCACTTCTCATCCCTAGGCCAGTGGTCTTTATCCTGAGTTGTTGCCAAAAATGCCATGTGGGTCTCTTGAAAGAGTACATGTCTAGAGGTTGAGAGATTGAGTTCTGCCTAGCATGTTACTTTCCTCTAGATTGTTAGATTTGAACATGAAGGGGAAACCAAGCAGACAAAGGCACTAGAGTTGAGTATCTATGATCCCTGGTTCTGTTGGACTGAGCTGAGAGAACTGCTTGGCTTCTGGAGTCAATGTGTGTCGTGTCCCTAGTGGTGATACACAACAGAGACCTCAGCTGCAGCTCAGAGGGTATGGTGTGGGTGGTTCTCTCTCAGAGTCCTGTGAGTTACTTGGGTTAGGTAACAAGGGTACAATGGGCTGCCCTGGAGTTTTGTACATGTGAGGAAACTGGGTCCTTCCTTCCCACACATCTCACACCTGGTGGGTTTTGTCCTTTGCCTCCTGAGGCTACTTTTTCTCCAGGCATATCCTTCGTTCTTCCACTTTTTTGTGAGCCCTAGGTCTCTGCTTCCAGACCTTTGTAGGAACTCAGCTAGTCCCTAGAAAGGACTTTCCAACCAAGAAGTAAGACTTAGCCAGAGGATAAGCTGAAGAGACTGCATTGCCTTCCTAGGAGACTTGTGCCTTCCTACCTCCTGTCTATTGTAGACTGATGATGATAACATTGAGAGGGAGAAGGAAGGGTACAGAGGGGTATTGCCATGGCCTTTGTGCATTTTTATATTGTTTTTCTTTGTTTTTTGAGACAGTGTCTCTTTTGTGTAGTTTAGGCTGGCCTTGAACTCACTATGGAGCCCAGGCTGACCTCACAGTGCTCCTCCTGTCTCAGCCTCTGAGTGCTAGGATGACAGGCATGTGCCACCATGCCTAGCTGATGGCCTTTGTTTCTAGCTGTAAGACTATTGTGATTTACTTTTCTTTTTGTAAAATGAAGATGAATAGTCACTATGCTACCTAGAAGGAAGTCAAGAAGAATCATTTAGGGCATTGTAGTCCATCTTAATATTAATGGACAAATTCAATAGACATTGACTGAGTACTTAGTATGCCAGACACTGTGCTAGGCACCAGAGGCACATAAATCCTTTTCTAAAAGACCTCCCTCTTCGAGTTTCTTAACAGCAACAGGCCTATGGGTGCTGTGCTCAGTGCGTAGGGCTTTGTATGTGGCATGAGAGGTGACTTGAGTTGTTCTTTCATTGCATCCATGGTCAGCCCTGCAAGTTGGCAGGATGGGGACGTGTCCTTTCTGTTGAGGACCCACTCCTGCATTGGGCTGGGCTGCAGGCCCTGAACAAAGCAGGACTTTCTGGGTGACAGGGTTGAGAAGTTGGGGGTGGGACCCAAGGATTCAGGCAGCTGGCCTCTTTCACCCTGATCTTTTGTTTCATTTTCCCACAGGATCTTTTCGGAATGATGGTTTGAAAGCTTCTGATGTCCTTCCCATCCTAAAGGAAAAAGTGGCCTTCGTGTCTGGTGAGTTTCTGAAAACTTGGCTCTGAAATGGACCTAGAGAAGCTGTGCATGTACACACACATTCAGACACTCATTTCTTTGTGTATTAGAGAGAGAGGGAGAGAAGTGGGGTGGACTTTTTACTTGGAACAATTGCTTCTTTTTTGCAGAGGCAGATGAGCAGAGAAAGGAGGGTTCTGGTCCCAATTGTTCAGTGGAAGATACTCTGTCGTAGGTGGGCTCCAGAAGCCTTACACCCTCCCTGCCTCACCTTTCCTGCCCTGGCAGGAGCCTCTGGAGCCCTGAGAGAGAGGCTCCAGCTGGAAGAGGGTCTACCTAACATGTTCCCCAACGTTCTGCTTGAGTTCATCTCTGTGTGGATCCTAGATTTAAAAACTTCAGTTCCACCTTATCTCTCCTTCCTGACAAAGAGAGCTCAAGTGTTTGTATTTAGGTGTGTTTTTCTCATTTTTTTGAATACATACAAATATTTATTCCTGACCTGTCCCCCACCCATCTTGCATACTTAGACATTGTAACATCTAATTCAGGGGTCAGCAATCTACACCTGGGCCTGTTGGCCAGCCACCAGTTTTTGTAAATAAAGTTCTATTGGAACCAAGCTGCCTGTTTTTATTTAGCTGATGTGTTTGTTTCTCATTGACGCTGTAACAAAGTGCCACAAATGTGGTGGCTTCACTTCGGGCCTCCTGGATCAGAACTTCTGGCAGGGCCTGAGGCCAGGACTGGGTGATGGCAGTTGAGCAGCCAGGAATCTCTTTCAGAGAGGCACAACCAAATATGAGGCCATGTGCACTAAGCCTTTATTTCCTGGTGATTTTTGTGGTCAACGTGGAGGGAGGACAAGAGTCAGTGCTTTCTCCATATGGCAGGGGTTCACTTCACAGGCACTGCTGGTCTGGCTGCTGGGGAACAGCCAAACTGAGAGAAGGAGAGAAGGAACAAGGTTAGGGAGAAAGGGACACCAAACACCAGTTATCCCACCTCTACAGAGGGAAGATAAGTGATGATCAAGATAGACTGTAGGTGTGAGACGTGAAGCAGGCATGGGCTGGGTTTGTAGAATTCTTTGTCAGCTGCTAAGTGAATCGTGCAGTAACAGTAGTAATAGGAAGGCCATTTTATTATTGCCATTAAGACAACACTCACCAGGAAGCTGCCTTTCCCCATTAGGACCTAGGATCGGGTACTGGCGTATCTGGTTAGGTAGCAAGGCTCCTGCCACTGAAGATGAGATGTAGGCTGAACAGCCCCTTGGGAGGACCCTAAACTGTGATTTCAGTGCAGGCAGAGGCATGGGTAAGGCTTGGCTTTGGAGTGCTTGCTGAGCATGTGGGAGACCTTGTGGAGAAGTCCTGGGGGACACTGGGTAGTGTCAGGCAGTGGACTTCTGCTCCCCACAGAGGGCTTCCAGGACAGGCTGTAGCCATCCTCTGGTTTTATGGCCCTAAGTTAACCTTATATCTTTCTTATCCTCTAGGTATCCTGCTGATCTTCCCATATCACTCATACCTGGTAGTTCTTTCCCTGGCAGTGCTTTCCCCACATCTTCTGCTGGTTTGAGTCTCTCTTTCCCAAGTTAGTTCCCACTTTGCCTCCTCTAGGAGGCCTTCCTTAATTGCATAGCCTCTGATACCATCCTGTTCTGCATCACTTTGGGGCATATGAGGGGCGACATGGTACACTCTAACATGAGAACCCTTATTTGATTGTTCATGGCTTATTTTTTTTCCAAGATGTATTTAGCTGGAGCTCTGAGGCAGGGCCCAGCCAGCCCTAGGAAAGACCTTCCAAAGTGGTTGGGTCTGGTCTTCATGGAGCCCTAGAAGCAATGCGCCAGGAAAGTAGTAAGGGATGAGGTAGGTAGAAGTTCTCAAAGCCAGGACGGAGGGCTGGGGCTATGTAGTTCACTCCTGTGTGCCTGTGTGAACTGAGCAGCCTGGGGTAAGCCTTATTCATCTGTGCCTGAGGTGGCAGGACCTCTGGGCTTAGGAAACAGTGCCCTTCTGTGCCTGAGTGTGCCAGGGTGATAATGACTGGCTGCATCTAAAAAAATAAAACCAAAAAAGCCCTGTACATACTGAGCTTTCAAGAGACAAATCACAAAAATAAAATAAACCCCAAATTAAATGTAGTATAACAGCCACATTTCTTTTGGAGAAGAAAAGAGCAAAGTTAGGAATGTGGTAGTCAGAGAAACAGGCCATTAGTGTGCCAGTCCTCCACTGTCCATGCCCTGGCTTTGCCCAGGTGAAAGCAAATTGTGCCATGGCAGTGGACATCTGGAATAAGCCAGGACAGCCCAAGCGCTTCTGTGTGTGGTCACCTGGGCTGTGTGAGACAGAGGCTGTGGCTGTCCCTCAATGAGCCTCACTTGCTCCAACCCTGCCCCTGCCCATCCCACTCCATTATTCATAGCCCCCAGGCTCCCTAGCCTCCCTGGACTCCTTTGTGTTTTGATTCTCTCCTAGTCACTGCACCCATTGTCCTTTCTATCCACCTCCGCATGCAGAGGTTACTTCACCATTAGGATCTTTGTGCATATATGCGTGCTCCTTTTGACCGCCTCCTGATGAGTCCTCTCTGCTTTCTCGTCACCCACCGATATCGTGTTCCTTTGTTTCCAGGCAAATTTCATGGCCCTGGGGCACATTCTCCTGTACTTTGGTGTCTCAAAGTGTGTTCCATGAGATGATCCTCAAAAAAGAGAAAAGATTCTACTCTCAAATAAATTTGAGAAGTTCTGCATGTTAACATCACCCCTCCTCTGGACGCTTGTGACATCCTAAAACATGTTAACATTTTAAGGCTCTGGGAAGTGCTGCAGTAAAGAACTTTATCTCTGCTAATGAACAGCAAGTACTTGTCATACAAGTGAATGGCAGTATTCTCCCCCACTTCATGCCATTACTATCATTTTTCCAAAAATGGATAATTTTATTTACCACCCTCTGGAATCCACTTCCATCATGACCATTGCCTTTAGTAGAGGAGTTCCCATTCTTCATCTCTGCTTATCACAGGTGCCATAGGCAAAACACTCAACCTCTACCTTAAAGCCCATATCATGCCCAGCCCTACTGGGAAGCTCTCAATAACAGTTCTTGCTGCTCTCCTTGGTATCCCAGACCTACCCTGACCTTGACAGGTGATCTTCTCTCCCAGTTCACCTGAAGATCAGCATCTCTCAGGCAGGCTGAGCTCTTTCTTTCAGTGACTGATCCCTTTTTCTTCCCTTCTTGAGTTTTGCAGCCTACTTCAGAGAAAGGGGCAGCTCCACTCTCTGGGGACAGGACATTTCCCTTTGTACCTACTCTGAAGCCTTGCCCCATCTATTGTCTTCCTTTTCTAACACAATGATTCTCTTCTCCAAGCTCACTTCCCCTCTTCCTACTGACTTGCAAGATCTTTCTTGTTCTATAGAATACAGGGCTTGATCCTGCTGCCTCCTGTTTGACTCCTTAATCCATACTTACTGAAAGGAGGCAATTAGACTTCTCCAGGCTTCCTTTCCTCACTCCTCACTTCCTTCATCTGGAACCTTCCCCAGCCATGGTTCAGAAGTTCACATCTTCAAGATCTGTACTGGCTCAGGCTTTTCATGGACAGTGCCGATCAGCCCTATAAAGCCTCTAGTCAGTCATCCTTTGCCAGAACCTCGGCTCCTTGTGTTTCCATAACTCTACTTGTAAGAAGTCCATGGACAGCGTGGCAAAAAAACAAACAGTGAAAGTTACAACTGTTGGAGGCTCTATTGTTGGAGGCTTTTGGCAACCATTCTACTCAATTCTTCTGCTTCCTTTACCTCAAGTAGGGAGCAGTTGGGAGATGGGTGCCATTCCTGGGGCAAATATGGTCAGGAGTAGGGTTTCTGGAGTTCAGCTTGAGTACATCTGCACAAATCTTCCCTGCTGTGGTGGGGTGGGGGTGGGCCTGGTAGTGCTGAGAAGCCTTGATCTTATTTGATCCTTTTCTCCATATGAAACCACCTTGTTTCCTCCTCTGGGTATCTTGGATTGGTTGTTTGTCAGGCCTCCCTCTGTCTGTGTGGCTTCTGGCTCCATAATCAGGGAAATATCAAGCTCATAGTTGAGAAAGGCCTGGGACACTCTGCCTTTCTTGTAAGAGATCCTTCTCTTGAAGTCTGAGTTTTAGGCTTCTTTCCAGCACTGCTATGGCCATGCCGACCCCTCTCCCCCTTCCATTAGATCCCCTTGGGGTCCCACTCTGAGGATGTTGGTGGCTGCCTGACATTCATGGTGGGGTATCTGTGATCATGATGCAAACGTGTCCTTTGTGTAAATAGCTAGTGCCTCATAGGGACATAATCACTACATGTCAGCTTCATTCTTGTCTGACCCTCTTGACAAATTTTGTTCTGCTTCCTAATCATAGTGCCCACTAAGAAATGAATTTTTAAATCATATAACAAATAGTGAATATGTAGAAAGTTTGGAAAATAGAGGAAAGAAAAAGCAGCCATCTAGAATCTTGTCCTAAGGACAACAAAGATCATCATTTTGGTATACTCTTTCTAGCTTTCGTTCATGCGTGTGTGCATGTGCACACACACACTATTTAGAAAACATTTGTAACTGTAATTTGTACATATCCATTTGCAGTGATTAAGACCTTGAGCATCCTTGTTCCTGATAAGATTCATGTGCTTCTCCAGCAGAAATGACAGGTGGCACCTCAAGCAGGCAGGCAGGGGTGTTGGAGACTCCTGGGCTGTGTAGGGAACTCTCATTGTCTTTTCCCTGAGTCTGAAAACCACCCTGCAGGGCTTTTCTGGATGGATGCTTTAACGCCTCCTCACCATGGTAGTCAGCTCATCTCAAGCACTCTTACCTCACAGAGGTCTGCAGAGAGAAGAGAACTGGAGGTTGAGTTTACAAAGGGCTTTCACCCAGCTTGTTTTCTCAATAAGTACAGTTCTCATCACCTCTCATCACCTCGCCACCTGCACCTCACGTGTGTAGAGAGCTTTATTTTTCAAACCCCTTCCCTATGTCCCATTTCACCACTCCTTCTAGCAACCCTGCAGTGCACTGGTATTAGTCAGCTTTTCATTTTTGGGACACAATACCTGACAGACACAACTTAAAAAAGAAAAGGTTTATTTTGGCTTATGGTTTCAGAAGTTTTAGTACATGGTTTATTGGTGCTAAGGCAGAAACATCATGGCAGAAGGGCACGGCAGTGGAAAGCTGCTCACCTCATGGCAGTCAGGAAGCAGAGAAAGAACAAGAGAGCCAGAGTGAGAGAAGGGGCTGAGGACCAGATACACCCTTCAAAGGCATGCCCCTAGTGACCTGCTTCCTGTGGTCAGCCTCCATCCTAATAGCATATTCAGCTATGGATTCATCAATGGGTTAGTCCATAGCCAGGGTTAGTGCTCCCATGGTCTCATCACCGTCCAAAAGCCCCACCTCTGAACACACAAGCCTTTCGGGGAACATTTATGTTTCAAGCCATAATAGTGTTCACTCCTATTTTCATTTGCCTTTTACAGATGAGGCACCAGAGATATCAAAAGACCTACCTAAAAATTTACATACATTACCCACATCTAGATCCCCACCTTGTCCTAAGCCCTGACTAGTTTTTCTAGGCACTGCTTTGCTGTTTGTTCTTCCAGCACTTAGTCAGAATTCATTTTCCTCTGGGCTAACTTTCCTGGATGTTTTTCTCAAACTTCCTCCTCTTGCTCTTTGCAGGGGGCCGTGATAAGCGAGGTGGACCCATCTTGACCTTCCCTGCTCGAAGCAATCATGACAGAATAAGACAGGATGACCTGCGGAAACTTGTGACGTATTTGGCCAGTGTGCCAAGGTAAGTTGAAGGGGAATGGACTGCAGGGGAGGGGAGCTGGGCTGATGCCAGTGAGTTAGAAAGAGCCTCTATCCCTGCCAGGGTTGTTCTTGCCCTAGGAGTGGACTTTACTTATTCCTGGAACCTTACCACCCATTGTTCTCCTCATTCCCACAATTCCCATTGTTCCCGCTAGGATTCATATGAACAGGTGTGGGAGCTGGCAGTGAGGACTATGGGCAGAGGTGAGGGTCCCAGGTGAATGGGAGAGAGTGTGGCCTGGGACAGAGGAACCAGAAGCTGCTATTTATCTTTGTGAAATGGCACTCTGGTTGATTCCACTCTGGCTGGCATAATGAATTTTTAGAAACTAGTTTGTGAACAGATTTACAGCCCTTGGAGTTTGGGGTAAATAATTCCACTTATGTCACTTGGCTAGAGATGTCCCTTGGCTCCATCTGGCCCATACGTTTTCAGGGGGCGTAATATTGCCCAGAAGGGCGTTGAAAATTGGTTCTTGGTAGTAGCAAAGGAATCTTAGTTTCGTATGTATTAAGGACAGATATACATGCAGTACAGATATGCAGTATGTCTGAGGTGTTCAAATTTCATTGGGTGGAGAGATTAGGGAGAAAAAATATCTAAAAGACTTCTTCAGGGTAGAGGGTGATCATGAAAAAAATATTGAGAAACACTGTCTAGGTGGTGGTAGCCACAGAGGTGGGTAATGGGGACATGCCAAAGACATGGTTTATGTCCTTTGAAAAGGAAGGGCAGAGGCATTTGATTAATTAAAGAGTCAGAGGATGAGAGCCAGGAGAGCCCTTGCGATCAACCTAGTTAAGTATGTGTTGTATCCTGTTAAGGGAACAGGCTGACACAGATATGAGCAGTTTGCGGGGTCAGTGGTAGAGCTTTCGTAGAATTGAGCCCTCCAGACTCTAGCCTTGGGGCTTTCTCCCCATCCTTCCTCAGCAACTGAGGACTCTATTCTCTGTCTATTAGTGGGGCTGAAGTGAATTGAAGTGTTCGCTATGGCAAATATGAGGGGGTGCCTGGAGCTTTCAACACCTTCATCTTGCCTCTATGTATTTTATGGGAGAATTAGTAAATTATACAAATAAGCTATACATTTAACTCTGCAAGGAGACTTGGAGTAATTTTTGAATGTGCTGATTAAGTTCTTGGACCAGGTGTTCAGTGAAGCAAGTACTACATTACAGAGAGCTACAGGGAAGAAAAATGTAAAGGGGCTGGTGGTTGATAATGGGCAGGTGGTAAAGGGTATTTTAAGAGTGGCCATCAAATGCTTGGAAGGATGTTGACTGGAATGGCAAGCTCCAAGCAGAAGGCTGTGAATAAACAGATGCTGAAAATGTCTACTTTTTCCTTTTATCGTATCCACTGGGGACCAGAAAAAAAGATAAATAGTCTTAAACTTCAGTGAAAGGGACTTGGTTATAATCAAAGAACTTTTAAACTTTGAGTGCATGAGACAGTGAACTAAAGAAGAGAAATTTTTTTCAATAGGTCTTTGTAGAGAAGAAATATTCCTATCTGACTCAGAGGCAAGGAGATGGACTAAATAACCCATGACTGATCTAGGTAATTTGGCAATTTAGTCATCTAGGAGCTAAACAGTTTTAAAAGTAAAAGTAACTACTAACAGGCATGAAACCAGGCACTTTCTAAAGCAATTTAAAAGAGCTTTCATAGGGACCTTCAGTTCTTTTAGAGCCAGAAGAAATTGGGATCCAGGAGATGTGAAGGATACATTTTTCTTCTTTGCACGTTCATTACATACCTGCAGTTGATACAGGTTCATCTTTTCTTTAGAATAAACGGAGAAAGGGTTGGAAGAACAATTTTCTTTACTCTGATTTGTTAAACGAAGATTGGAACAAGACAGATCAGAAGCAATTTAAAAAGACATGATTTCTCCTGGCATGGAGGGGAACAAAACCCAAGACAGGCTGAGTGGAATGTCATGAAAATAAAGGAGAAACAATACAGTATCACTGAAGGAGCTTACTACATGCAGGCTCTCTGCTTCTCAGACAGCAGTTATAAGCATTGAATCCTGAGCATCTGAGAGCAGAGACAGTTCCTCATAGGCACTGGCAGTTGGGAAGCAAGAGTGCTGTTGTCAACTTTAGTAGGAATAATTGCTCTGGGATGCCTGTTGCCTCCCTACCAAGGGACTTGTATTCACAGGGAATGTGAGCAGTAGTTGGCTGAAGAGTCTACCAATTAGTCATGCATGTTGGTCACTGCCTAATTCTGATGCCCAGCAGTTCACACATGACAAATCATCGAAATAAAATCTGGGACAGAATTGTTCTAACAACAATGGGGCTTGGTAGGAAAATTGAAGAACTCACTGGATCAGATAGAACTTGCCACTCTTCTGCCCAGCCATTGGTTTGAGAGAGAAGGAGAACTATGAAAATGTACAGATAGAGTAGATGATTCTGATAAGAAATGATTTATTCTAGGTGATGGTCCATCATGCTAAAAGGGTAGGCTTCTGTTTGGTAATGGAGTATTTACCAGTATAGTCAAGTCTGTAGTTGACATTTCATTTATTCATGTACTTATTTATTATTTATTTAACAAATATTTAGACCTTTATATAGCAGGTAGATTGAGGATTCATAGTAAGCAGGAAGAGATATTTGAGGAAGTTATGGAAAACATGGATTATTTCCCTACACAGTGCCAAAGCAGTTAACACTGAAGGGCAACACAGGATTTAACTGTACTGGTAGCATGGGAGGTAAGCTAGCCAGCAGAAGACAAACTAGTAAGGGTAAGGGAGTGATGGAAGAGGACTTCAGAATCTAATAAACCAGCTTGTGTGTTGGCCACTTGAGGCACCATTCTGGAAGAGATGATTAATATGATTGTAATTGATGAATAAGAAGTAGTTCTACTGTCCAGTGTGCAGGGTAGGTCACATCTGCACTAATGCATTGAACTCTGCAATATTCAACTTGCCACCCCATAGACCAATTAGAGTGCTGTCAGAGGAGAAGCATGTTAAGGAAGCCACAAGCCATGTCTCTGCAGTTGAAAAAATGAGGGCTGTTTGCTGGCAGGCATGCAGATGGAAAAGAAAGTGATTTCTGACTGTGGCTGTCAGGAGAGCTAGCCCACAGTGTGGATTATTGGGAGTTGACCATATGCTTGAAATAGAAATTTCTGAGTACTATATCTAAGAAAGAAATCCTGAGTTATTTTTCTTATGTTGAATTCCTCTTTTTCATCATCACTGTTATCCTGCTTTGTCACAGTCATCTTTCTGCTCTCCTAAGGGAACCTGTTGATGTATCTGCCACTTAACACTGCTCTTAGCAGTGCTGCTGAGGTGCTGAATATTCTCTAAGAAATGCAGGCGTCATATCGGTGAGGAAAGATGACAAGAAATTAGGAGAGGTTATTCTGTAATGCCAGTCAAACCAAGGTGCCTTTATTTGCCACTTACTATTTGATAACATTTGCTCTTGTTCTGCTGATTCCACCAAAAGATAAATTGGACTTACAGCCAGAACTATCTTTGTACTGCATCACCAAAAAATAGGAATAAGCAGAGAGAGCCAGAAAGACAGTTAAAAGGCGAAAAGGTAAAAACTGTGAGTCTTTCTCCCACTATTTTCAGCATGAGAGAGCCTGAGCCATCCAAACTGTCATCATCAGATGTGTTTTGTTGTTAGGGCTTTTGAGATGTGCTGTTGGTACCCTGCCCTTTGTTCTGAGGCCATCAATTAAAAAAAGATGCAGGGAGTAAGCAAGGTGATAGAAGGGCCAGAAAATAGAACTAATAAGAACAGTGAGGTCGCATTGTTACAATTACATTTACCTAAAACTTACACGTTTTAAAATCTATTTTATATTTCCTTTCTTGCCTATGTATAGAGGGTTTATAATTTCTATTACAGTTTCTACATTTTACACACATTTCTCAGCAGTATCAGTTAAGTGTCGCTATTGTAAACTGTATATTACACCAACATGGAGGAGCAAATAGTGTTCTGCTACACTGGTGAGGAATGTAAAATCACAATAATAATTGCCATTGTTAGTTATCACTGTTCTTAGGATTATACCAAGCTTTGCCGAAAAGGATGGACAGGCATCTTAATATAAACTGAAGATATTGAGCTTCTGTTCGCAGCTCTACTACTTTGTAGTCAGGAATCATGTGGACACTCAAACTGGGTGGTTTAAGAAGAATAACTGAGGGACAGTTTATAAAGATGTAGGCAGGTATAGGAAAACCAGCAAGCTTGAAACAGCAGAGGGTAGACACAAGTCCTTCTAAGCCTGAAGGGACAGAGTAAGTATTGGATCCTCTGAACATGGAGAGAGAAGGGATTACTATGTTAGAGGCACTGGCCAGGGGCTGTGGGATTTGGTGGTGGTGGTGGGGGGTGCTACCAACCTATGGTGACTTTCTACTGGGGCAGGGGAATCGATATCCTGACCTCACTTTTCTCCCATTTTTTGATCTTCTCTCATTGTTTGTCATTGGCTTAGTGTACCTAGAAGCCAGATGACAGGGGTGTACACTGATGTGAACTTTGTGGGTCAGTCTCCTAGGTACTTGGGAGGAGAAAATGGAGAATAAATTCAGAAGTGAAAATGGAAAATACATGACCCAGGGTGAGACCTTGGGCATTATTATTAAACATTTCAGAGTCCAATATTCTATTAGTTTAGGAAAAGAATGTTATCTTACAAGAATGTTGTGAAAAAATCACCTAGTAATTTCTCTATTATACCCAGGTGCACAGTAATTGTAACTCTGTCTCCTAAAGAAACATAATAATAGTAATACTAACAATAATATATATATATATGCATACACAGTAATATTTGCTATATAGTAAGGAAGAGATGTACATGAAAGTTATAAAGCATGATAATAAGATGAGTATTTGGGATCTGCCCCCCGCCCCTATCAAGAGAGGCAAAGTATCTCTTATTCTTTATGCAATCTGGGCCTTCTTCCTCCAACCAAA